GCTGATTAACTAAAAACATATGCCGGAGGGACAGAATAAGACCAGGAAAATCATTTAAGTAGCTAAAAATTCTGTTCCACTGGGCCCCAGAGAAAGATAAAACCAAAATATGCCCACCCTGTCCCTTGGCAGAAGGCAGCCTAGTTTGTATCATTTGTAAATGGAAATCAATGAGCTCTTCAAAGAGCACTGAAATCCTTTACCAGCACGCACTCCTATAGTGAGAGCCAAGAGGATAAGAATCAATACCTCTCCTAATTCCAAAGCCCAGATTCTTTGCAGGGGCACAGGGGCCAGGCCAGCTACAACACAGCAGCCTAGAAGAGACTGTTGGCTTAGCTTCTTGGGAGCCTGCAGGAGCCTGAGAGCTTTCCTCCACTCCCCTTAGCCATGCCCACACCTCCTGGCCCTTGAGGGGAGCTCCCCAAAAAGGAACAGATTCAGTGCCTCCTACTAGCTGATAATGGTGGAGCCTGTCTGTTCTCTGGGCTTCTCTGCTTACATGCCTTTTCTCTGGCTGGACCTTTCTGACTCATAAATAGATCTTTCTTCTACAGCCTTACTACTCTGCCTTCTGCCTTGGCTTGAATTGCATGCCCGTATGCTGGTCCATCTCATTTGGGGCAGGTCCCTTTGTCTCCTAGTTGTATTTCAAAGCCCTGTGACCATGCTTTGATTTATCTTTAATTTCTTCTATTTAGGTAAATATGTACCTATAGTGACATGTACAGACCTCGAATGAGTTTTTAGTCAGTGAGTTTGGGTGTAAGTGACTCTTTAAATCAAGATATAGAACATTTCTACTAACCTCAAAAGTTCTCTCCTGGCCCCTATTATTGAATCCCTTTCTAGAGACAACCACCATTCTGATTCCTTGATCTTGAACTTTACATAAGTTGAAACATAGAGTTTGTACTCTCTAGTTTCTAGCCTAGGTTACTCAACATGCTTCTGAAATTCATCTGTTATTACATATATCAGTAGTTCATTACAGCTGGGTTTTTTTATTGCTTGTTTTTTGCTGAATAGTATTCCAATGTAGGAGTATACCAATATTGACTATGTTTCTGGGTTTTGGATCCAACATCTGGAACAGATTTCCTGACCCTCTCATAAATTAGAGATAGAAAATCGGGGTTCAAGAAAATGGGAAAGAGACTGTAATGTCAGTGTCATGTCAAATGAGTCTATGACAGCAGTTAATAAGAAGCTTCCCTTCCTTTGCCCCTTGCAATCACCCCAACTACAGAAAACTTGCCTGAATACCAGTTTCACAAGGCAGAAGATCTAAGAGATCACAGGCAGGCCTGTAGACCCTCTGAGGAAAGAATATTATTTTTCTCTATATTACTGTAATAAAAAGCAAGCAAAACTCTCATTAATCTTTCAAATGCAGCTCAAGTGGCAACTCTCCTCTCCAGTTTTTCCATAACCTTGAGGGAAGATGACTCAACCCCTTATTTGTGTTCCTATAAAAACTCATACGAACTTTTGTTGCAGTTTTTACCATCTTATACTCCTTGTTTCTTTGCAGACCTGACACCACTTTCTAACAAAGTGAACTATAGAACCCCCCGAAAAAAGGACCCTCTTTTTCCTTTCCAGTGATTATACACACTTGGTGTAGAAGAATGGACACATGGATGACTGCCCAGATGGATGGGTGGATGAATGGCTGGAAGGGTGGAAGGGTGGATGGATGGGTGAACGGGTATATGGATAGTTGGATGGGTGGATGGACAAGTGGATAAGTAGATGAATGGCTGGAGGGATGAAACAGTATGTAAATATTGCCATATTGCCTACAAACTCAATGATCTGTCTGGTCTTTAGCAACCCCAGCAGTATCAGGATACTGATTTCTCTCACTATCACATTCTCATTGGTTCTGGGAGTTCCTATTATTCCACTCACCAATAGGCAAATGCCTGACTACCATCTAGAACAGGTTACATCTTCTAGCCACCAGAAAGTAGCTTCCTGATACTTCAGTAAATATTTTCCTAAGAGCTAGAGGTTGGACAGAGTTACAGTTCATCTGTAACCACGTAGCATGGAAAGCTTCAGCATCCAGGACAGGCCTGGGTACAGAATGAGTGGCATTGCTTCTGCTGTCAGCAGGCGGCTGGTTAAATACAGCCTCACAGGGAACTAAAAGGTGATGTGGAGCCCATTAGAGAATTTTGTAACACTGTGAATAGCATTTAGTACTCAGCTGTTTCTCACCCACCTCTCAGATGCTCCCAGCAGGAAACAAGTCTGTAGCTGTCATGTTTACAGTTAATTAATGTTTATTTATATTTTTTTAAACAAGGCATTCACCTGTCATGCTTTAAAATAAATGTTCTGCTCTTCAATTAGAGGTTGTCAGAGTAGAGAGGAATCCTGTTTGTTATGGGTTGAATGTGTGTATATTTAAATGTGTATCAGGTAAGGACCTCTTTCCCGGTCTCTCTTCTCACAGAGGCTAAGGCTTCTTTTCTCAGAGAACACATTCTTTCCAGGCATTGACCATAAGATTGGTGCTCTGCTATACAGACCATGAACTTGCTTCTAGAGGGTGGACAGCATAGATTACAGCATCTTCTTAGATGGGGGTAGTGGGGATTAGCACGAAAATATTGCACACTTGACCAGTGTAGAATAAGGATTCTTAAGGAAAAAGGACATTGTTTGTTCTCTTTGCAGTAAAGTATTGACTCAAACCCTGCACATTCCAAAGAAAGGTCTGGCTCTTGATTGGCTCCTGTGATCTATGGTGGAGGTCTTGGGCCGTTAAGTGTCTGTTTGACCTCTAATGGGGAGACTGAGTAACTAAGATCAGCCATGTGGGGCACCATAACTATAACTGAGCCCCAATAAAAACCCTGGACATCAAAGGTCAGCTGAGCTTCCCTAGTTGGCAATACTCTCCATGCTATCACACATCACTGCTGAATTAAGCACTGTCCATACAACTCCATTGGGAGCAGACACCCGGAAACCTATACCTGTCCCTCCTGGATTCTGCCCTATGCGCCCTTTACCTTTGCTGATTTTAATCTGTATCCCTTCACTATAGTAAACTATAATTATGAGCACAACAGCTATTCTGAGTTGTTTGTCCTTCTAGGGAATCAGTGAACCAGAGGATAGTCTTGGGGATCCAATATCCTCTCTCAAAGAGTAAGTGATAAAGATAGATTCGGTTGCAGGGTGGAAAACAGGTCAGAACTGAATGCCAACTCTGCCATATACTTCCCGATGACCTCAGGGAAATCACTCGACCCTTTAATCTTTTTGAGATTGTAATAAGATTCTATACTAGATATGCATCTAATATTTCAATAGATATTCACTGAATGTGCCACGTTATAATCACATAATATATGTTCAAACAGTGGTTAAGGGTAGAGGTGATTGGCCCATCTGTGGGCTTCTCCACACTATTTTAAGTTCCTTAGGCAAGCACTCTAAATTTGGACATATGCCCCTCCATACTTTTGCAGAGAGTATGTTCACAGTTTGTAGTCAATAAATGATCGTTTTTATACGGTTAACTTGGCTACCATTACTTCCCTCCTTATCCTGATCTTAGGCCTCTGGTTTCAAATACAGACCTTCATCAATTGATGATGAGATTATATCCTGTTAAGTCCATCACAAATTGAAAATATCACACATTGAAAATGTATTTAATACACCTAACCTACCAAACATCAGAGCTTAGCCTCACCTACCCTACCCGTGCTCAGAACACTTACATTAGTGTACAGTTGGGTGAAATCATCTAACACAAGGCCTATTTTATAATAAAGTGCTGAATATCTCACATAATTTATTGAATACTATACTGAAATTGAAAAACAGAACAGCTATGTGGGTACAGGATGGGGGTATGTGTATGGGTTGTTTATCTTCCTGGTCATTTGGCTGGCTGGGAGCTATGGCTTGTTGCAAGAAGCCACTGCCCAGCATCACAAGAGAGGATCGAACCACATGTCTCTGGAAAAAGATCGAAATTCAAAATTTGAAGTATGCTTCCTACTGAACATGAATCACCTTCACACCATAGTAAAGTAAAAAAATCATAAGTGGAACCATCAGTAAGTCGGGGGCCGGACTGTCTGTCATCTGTTTTCCCTCAATTGTACAGTTGCTAAAGCCTACACATAAAAGTACCTGGAACGGTGCCAGAATCAACTCTGGAACTGAGTAAGTACTACTTGAACATGAATATGAACATCTAAAGCATTTCTTCCAATCACTACTTAACAGATATATACATATTCTTTTTGACCAATAACTTAAAAACCAGAAAAATAAAGATGTAGAAAATGGGATAAAAGCCAATTTTTGCACAGCTTTGAATCAATGGTTTTCCCCTATTGTGGATTAAATTGTGTCTCCCCCCTCCAAAAAATAAAAAAATATGTCGAAGCTCTAGTCGTCAGTTCCTGTGAATGTGACTTTATTTGGAGGCAGGTCTTTGAGGAGGAAATCAAGTTAAGACGAGGCCATACTCATTATGGTGGGCCCTAATTAGGTCACCCTAATCCAATAACTACTGTCTTTAGAAGAGGGAAATCTGTACACACACACACACACAGACACACAGACACACACACACACAGAGGATGGCCATGTGAAGATAGAGGCAGAGAGTTGGGATTGGCTGCCACAAGCCAAGGGATACTTGGGACTCCCAGTAATCCGCAGAAGAACAGGCAATGGAGGGTTTTTCCTAGAGCCTTTGGAAGACATCATGTCTTGCTGACACCTTGATCTTAGATGTCTAGTTTCTAGAAAAGTGAGAGAATGTGTTTCTGTTGTTTTAAGCTACTCAGTCTGTGGTGCTTTGTTATGGCAGCCCTAAGGAAATGAATACATCCCCCATTAAAGCCTGTCACACATAGGTCTTTGGCTTGTATCTGGGTTTCTTTCCTTGACAGAAAGTAAGCTGCCTCGTGAAAGATGGGAGGAACCAGAGAAGAGTGTAGAGACAGAAGGAAGTGACTCACCCTGGGACTTCGGCCCACACTGCTCAGGTAGTACAGGAGTCCTTTGGCATGGTAGATTGTTGGCTGAAGATGAGCACTGGGAGAGAGCCATTGTCTGTTTAAATCCTCCCCTTTCAGTGAGCATCTGTGGCTGCAGGAACAAACAAGGAGCAAATAAATACTCGTCGAGAAGAAAATAACTTGAGAAAATAAAGCTCAACAAGACAAACTAATGAATCCAATGTCCCTCTGACTTCTGCCCAATTGGCGTCAATTGCAGATGTCCAGAAAGCTGCAGATCTGTCATTTAAGCTAGTGAAGTGTTGATTATTCTCAGCCCCAAAAAGAACTGGAAGCCATATTTGACTTGATATTGGGTTATCATAGTTTTAAGACGAAATTTGGGAAATATAGTTCCCCATTATACACATCCACAGAGAAGGAATTTGATAAATTTCTCTGGGCTCTGGACCTTCAATTCTACAAATAATTAAGTTGAGCTCACACTGTCATGCTGGGTGTGTTATATACACTATTTCCAGCTGGCCCAATAACTCTGCCAGGTGGATAGTATTCATCCCAGTGAAGAGACTGAAGTGTAAAAATGATTACATAAATGGCCCAAGATCACATAACTAAGAGCTAGGCTTTACATCCAGGTCTGTTTGCCTCTGAGAAAGCATAGGCTCTTTCTCCTATCACAGGGCTTCCTCCCTATCCATACAGATGACACAGAACACTTGACATTTACCCAGAGAGCCAGAGTATCTTTTTCAAAGACATCATCATGGAATACTGGCACTAGAAATGAGCTGAGAGTCATCCATCCCCTCATTAGGGAAATGGAGATGTTCACATTGGAAACTATCGAGTTACTTTACAAAGTTGACGCAGCTGGTTATGATAGTGTGGCCTGCAATTCAGGGGGAAGCTGAGATGCTGAGCTGTCAGGTAAGGTCATCCAAAAAAGAGACACTCAAAGATGACCAAGGGCAGCCAGCCCACACTCAGGGGAGGCCCCCAGGAGGCCCGCTACAATGCTATTTACTCAAGACAGCTAACAAGAGAGATGCCCAGCACCCCCATCAACCTTCCCCCATGCCCAGCCCACATCTCCTGCGACCCTTGTCCTTCCGTACTCCAGCTCCCTCAAACAGATCACGGATCCCTCTGAGCAACCCTATCTGCTGTCCCTTTGCCAGGACTCCCCACAGCTCCATCCCTTTCCAATTATTCAACTTTCAGGGAAACTTTTCCTGATCCCCAGGCCATTCCATTCTGCTCCTATTTGTTGCAAGAGCTTCCAGAGGTCCCCTTAATTCTCATAAAAACCATTTTGGGTGGGGTTTTACTGTTATTTAGCTATTTTTACAACTCTTTCCTTGGACTGCGAGCCTCCTGGGGGCAGGAATAGTGCTTTGTTACCATCAAAACCCTAATAGAGTAACTGTCAAAATCGGTATTCAGTAAATAATTTGGAATGAATAAAAATGCACTAGCATTTAAATATAGAATCAGATACGTTTTCTGTGTTTTTTTTTTAAATCACTATTTTCAATAAATCTTGGAGGTGGAAGGAAAAAGGTTCAGCCTCCTTCTTTCACCACTTTCTCATCTTCGTGTTTCTGAAATTATCTTTAAATATTAGTTTCCTGCTGCTTGTCAGCCTCCTCTTACAGCTCACTGGAAACCAAAAATCTTTAGATTAATCATTTATCCTGATCTCACCATTAAAATATTTTGACTTGAGAAATGGTAGGTTTTTTCATCTTCTTCTCTGACTTTTTTGTTCTTTTCTTGCTATATTTTTTTTATCTCTCTTCCTCTTTTTAATAGCAATGACATCTAGAAATAGGGTTTATCTGTTCTGCCTGGCAACCAGGGATGGAGGTAAAATATAAAGGAGATCTTTAATAATGATAGCAACAGAAAGAAGCAGGCATCCCAGATTTGCTCCTGAGCATATTTGCTGTGTTTAAATGAATTTCTTTTCTCAAATCAAGGTACTTGCAGGCACAACATCCCTGAGCCTCGGGACACTAACTGTTCTGTGTCTCTCCTTGCCTTGACCTGATTTCTCATCAACACTGGGGACTTTTTCTTTTCTTGGTAATATCAAACGTGATAAAATCAGTCAAGACCCCTTAAAAGCATTTCCACTTGTACAAATGAAAATGCAGGCAATGTATGTGTCCACTAAACATTAATTCCATGTCAACTCCCTCCTTCCATGTGATCCGTGGAGACCAAGTGCAGGGACAATGTCTACATGGGTAAAAGTTCTTAGGTCACCACATAGCAAAATTATCCTTCTGGATTACAAATTCCAAAAATAGAAAAAAGTGAAGTTTGTGCTGCAATCAGAATAAGCACTGGGTTTGGGTTAAGAAGACCCACTCCCATCTCTCAACCCTGTCACCAGATATGGGATTTGGGATTCTCTTTGAGAGTCAACATTCCCATAGGCAAAAAAATATATAGATATATGTAACCTTGCTTCCCCGAATTATACTGAGGATCAAGCGAAATGATATCTCCATGGGGAAATATCTATATAACCCTATCTCTACCCATGTCTCTATCTATGTCATGTCCATACTTATATCCATGTGCACATCCCCATCTCTATCTGAATTTACATCTTCATCTCTATCTATAATGCTCAGGGATGCAGAGCAACACTTAGACTATGTTCATTGGTTCCTCACCTCATCCTAATTTTTTTTCATTATGAAGAATAATGAAGGAGCTCTATGCAGGTTGATTGGGAGGGATAATCTTGGCTAGGAACCCCAAACAAGAGGCTGTGGTCAGTTTCAATTACCAGTTCACCTGAGCAGACTTAAAGGTGGAAGCAATGAGACTAAAAAGAAAAGAATTCATCTAAAAAAAAAAATATGAGGGAATAACAATGTAAATTGCTAACTGGACTTTGGGCTGTTAAAGAGTACAGAGGGGGCTGGCTGGTGGATGGCACCTAAGATCATCCAATTACATGGATTTGGAAAAATCCAACCCCTGTGAGACTGAGGGAAGCCCTTAGTTTTGGGTAAATTTTGTTCTGCAGGGTTGGAGACAGTGATGCATTCCCTTTGTACCCATACGTTGTGTGGATTTGGAAGCCCATATGTTTGTATTTGTATTCAGAGCTCTCTGCGTGGCTATGATTTGGAGAGTATCTCTGTGAATGCCTATTGCTACAGCAGTTCCTAGATCTATGCAATTGCAGATTATCACAATATGTACTACATGTAACTTGAGTGCTTTTCCTTTTAAAGCAAATCCATTTGCTTCCAATCTCCAAATCCATTTGGCATTTTGTGTTAATAATATCAGAGATTCATGCAGTCAGCGATACTGCTGCTATCCTTCCCAGAGATTTGTTTCGAGCATTTGAAGATGAAACGTACCCACTCTTATTATCTACTGTAGCATTTTTGAAATGACAGCTGCTCCCTCCATGTGGAGAGAATCAGCAGATGGACAGCTACGAGTGGCTGGCAATAAATTTAGTGCCTCTAATTTCTGAAAAGGGGTAACCCCTCAAATAGAGTTGAAAGTCCTGCTTTGCGTATAAGACTAAAATAGTGAGCATTGCTACTTTTTTCTCCACTGAAAACTGCAAACTTACAGAGGAAAAATAAAAAAAGGAAAAAAAAAGGAAAACATTTCTCATTGGTTTTAATAGGTGAAGCTATTTGATCCAACTAGTCTTCCCTGTTTTCAAAGTTTTAGTTTAGTTTAAGACTATGCTTATATGCACTGAGTATGCTGGATCTTGGGTTACCAACCATCCAGTTTGTCCAGGAATGTTGCAATTGGTCCCCCTAAAGCTAGATCTCAAATTCTAAAAGGTGTTTCCAAGGTAGAATGTGGGCCAAAATTTGCCCTGTTTCACACTGACTTTGAACATTTTAGGTGGGACATGTACCTTCCCACCAGCCTGCCTATTTTTACCACTGACTGCTCTATATACATATTACGTGCCTGCTCTTTTTAGGCATTAGCATCCTGTGTCCAGGAAGTCTTAAACCTATGGTTTTTGGTAGGACATATTTCTTCCCTTGGGAAAAAAAAAATTGGAAAAAAGTTCTCCTATCTCCTAAAAATATGGTCAAACAAAAGCATCTCAGCTGAAGCTATGAAACAGTAAATTAGTAGTGCCAGTCCTAAGAGGTCACGGAATGGTACCCTGGATAAAGAATGGTCTCAAAAGCCAAACAACCAAAAAGGAAATGATGTCACTAGAATTCATTCTTTTAACATTAATTGCATATTTTCGTATCTGCTAAGAATAGGGATTATCCTGGCCAGAGACTAGGAAGTAATATAACTAAGGGTCTTGACAAGCAGACCCTGAATGACCAGGACCCCTGAAACAAAGTAAGGACCACATGTCAGAGAGAGAAGGAGGAAAAGTGAGTCACTTCCTAAAAGAGAATCTATCAAGCTCCGGTCAGACAATAAAATGATTCAAAAATCCCCCATCCATCCGTGACTGATAAATGGAGAGACGGGGCCCATCAGACTGAATGATTGATGCCCGGCTTGATCATCTTTGTGCCCAACCCCCCCCCCCCCAGCAGAGCCATCTCCAAAGTCTAAAGAGAAGCTGTGTGTTTGAGATTTAGCAAACATCTTCACCATTCACTGCACATCCTAGTAACAGGAGGCAGCATGGGTGCAGGAGGAGAATATTTATAAAGGTAAAGAGACGCATGGAAGCTTCAGGAATAAGACAGAACAGCATGGGGCACTATCAGCCAGACACTGCACCCAGAGCTTTCTAAATAAACACTGCTTGGATAGAGAAAAAGGGAAAACCAATGGCAGCTTCATCTGAAGATCGTGGTTGCTATAAAGCTACAAATGATCAGGGTTGCCAAGGACATGTTAGCATAGTCAGGGTATTTTTTTTGGTCATGCAAAATGCTCAGAGAGTCAACAGTCTAGAGAGCAAACAGAAGAGACCAAACCCAGGAGTGCCTCAACACCTCCAACACCCAGCAATGCGTCACTAAAGGACTGACCATCCTAGAGCCCAGGGACAGGAAAACTTGAAAAGAAGTCTTTAAAAGATGGACCAGAGGAACTCACCTGGGTTCAAATGTCAACTTCTTCGTGAAGCAAGTTACACGCAGTTGACCCTTG